TATAAATTAATGAATAAAGTAAAAGTCCATCAACAACTAAAATAAATAAATAAATAAATAAATAAGATTTACTTTTTCAGCCGGGCACCATGGCACATGGCCTGTAATCCCAGTAGCTCTGAAGGCTGAAACAGGAGGATCGTGAGTTCAGAGGCAGCCTCAGCAAAAAGCGAGGTGCTAAGCAACTCGTTGAGACCCTGTCTCTAAATAAAATACAAAAAAATAGGACTGGGGATGTGGCTCAGTGGTCAAGTACTCCCCCCACAAAAAAAGTTTACATTTTCACGTATACTTACTGAATTCCCATTGTGTGCCAGGCTCCATGCCAACTTCTGGGATGTGATAATGAACAAAATAAGTGTATTTCTACCTCATAAATCACAAGACAGAAACTAAGAGGAACTAGAGTCACAGTGCTTTTCATGTCTGGGGATGTTCCTCTCCCTCCAAGCACTCCTTCCTCATCTGCTCCCACTTTGATAGATTCTCATCTTACCTTCCATAAGACCAACTTATATATAGTTATATAATGTGGAGGAGAAAGTGATGCCAAACCAGAGATTACTTAAAGAATGTTTTTTCTTATATTTCTGAGTTTTGATTATACAACTAGGAGCTGAGAAATTTTCCAATAATTAAATTCAAAATCTAGTTACTGTATTTTCTTCTTCATTGTCTAGAGAATAATTATATACAGTTACTAATTTCTTTCCCTCTTCAATCCTTCCTTAGTTTCTAAGTTTAGAACACTAGCATGTTCCATCAACAATAGCTTTTCTTTGAAAAGATTTAAAATGTATTTATCACATATATAATTCACGCTTCCCCTTATTTTTTGTGGAAAAAAAATGGTCTTGGTAATTAGAGCCTCCAACAGATAACCCTTGTTCCAGTCACAAGTAGCTGTTTTATACCATTTCTCCTTCTTGTGGGTTTAGCAGACCTCTTCTTCCTTCTCATTGAACCTCAGGAATGGTGTCTAGGTAAGTGCCAAGCCAAAGAAGCAAGAAATATTTAAATTCCACGCTGCAGGCAGTTTTTATAATTGTTGAGAATAACTTCTTCCTTAAGAAATGTGATCTGGTTTGTTAAACTTCCCCTTTTTTCCCTAAAGTCTACCATGTTTCAGCTGTTTGTATGTTTTTTTAAAGCATATAAACAGCTCATTGAAATGCATGATTTTACATTGAACCTTTGTTTATCCCAGGGAGCATTTTGAAGCACATTCATCTGTGCAGCCGAGCCCCTGTGTAGCCAGGGCAGAAAACCCTGTGTGCCTCACTTGGAAGAGCCTATAAGACTCCACCAGCTGCCTGTTGAGCACTTGAGACTAATTGACTACTGGGTTTGCAAGCTCACAAAAATATTGTTTTAACTTTAAAACTATAAAGAACTCTTCCAACCATACCAAAAATTATATAATAGATCCCCATATATTCGCTACTCAGATTTAGTAGATGTTAAGATTTGGGGCACCATGAAAATCTATATGCCAGTAATCAGTGCTGGTGAGAATGAAGCATAAAGTTGGGTGATGGAAGAAGAAGAGGTAGGAAAACCCAAGATAGACCCAGGGCCTCTAAAACCACAATTGTCTGGGTCCATTTGGATCAGAAGCAAATGAGATCTTCCTTCTAAAGTAATAGGATAATGATTGGTGTTTTGTTAATAACCTAACATCATCTATGAGGAATTAAATAGGTTCCATTCATGCAACTGCTGGAGAAAGAAAGCTAGTATGCAGCCCATTTGCAAAACTTGCTACTTGGAAGCTGATGTGAGAGTTCAAGACCAGCCTGTCTTTGAAATCCTTTCTCAAAAAAAAAAAGAAAAGAAAAACAAACAACAAACATGAAGGTGAAAAGTTTAAAAATCAAGTTTTGACATTCAAAAGGAATAGATTTCCGTGTTATGAAAAACTTGACACATTCCTGTGCCCCAGGCATGGGGAAGAGTACAGAGTCTTCACTGGGAATGCAGTGGTCTTGGGGTTTTTGGCAACAATTTCTTAAACTTTTTTTTTTTTTTTTTTTGAAGAACAGCATGCACAAGAGTGCCTAAGTCATGTGAGGTGTTTTCCCAACATGGACACACCTGGGTACCCAAGTCAAGAAACTATATTCCAGGGTTCCCTGGTCACCCTTGCAACTCCTTTTAGTTATAGAAGCTAATCCTGACTTTTAACCGCAGAAATTAGTTTTATTTGGGGAATTTTTGATAAACTGTCATCCAAGTAAGAGAGAAAAAGCTGTATATGGTATACTGTTATAACTTGCTTTTCAAGCAAACACATCCTGATTACTTCCTTTTATATAGCTGTTCAAGTTCACCCACCTAAGATTTCTTCCTGCAGGTGCTTGGTTGATAATATGGTGATGATAATAATATATAAGTATTTTGAGATGGAGTTTCACTGTGTTGCCCAGGCTGACCTGGAACTTGCAATCTTATGCCTCAGCCTCCCAAGAAGCTGGGATTACAGGTGCACACCATTGTGCCCTGTTAGCAATAACATTATAAAGCATTTATTGAGGTTGAACAAACTGCTTATCCTCTCTGTGACTCAGCTTCTTCCTCTGTATAACAGTGATAATAATCACACCTTTCTTAGAGAGTTGAGAATTAAAATGTAAATAGACACTAGCATTGTGTCTGTTCCCTAGCAAGTGTGTGTGTGTGTGTGTTACAAATGAGGTTAAACCAGGAGGGGGGAGATGTATAACGTATGTATTTAGATATTGCACATTTTTATTTTACTACTGCGTAATCACACATTTTGCAAAAGGCTCCATTTGTGGATTGCCGCAGTCTGGCTGGGCACAAATCACGAGCCACTGAAGCAGGAACAAACTTTATTTCTGAACTCCACCAGCACACTCCACACACGCTCCCCGGGAATTCTTCCGCAAATCATGCACACGTTTTTCTCTCGGGACACACTACACCAACAGGAAATCCCTCCTCCGGAATTCCCTCCTACCGCACTTATCCAACCAATGGGAACTCTCCGGGAGTCCTGCAAGAGCTCCAAAGTAGCAGGCCTAGGCAGACTGCAGGGTCTAATCTCCAATTGAATGCACATCTTAACATAATCATTATCATCTCAGTGGCTTGCTGGGGTCACCTTTCAACCAAAAATGCCATGTCATTCCTACTTGGCTATGGCTCTCAGCAGTGGATAAATGGTCACTTAGTCATTGGGTAGAGAGGATTTGCTCTCCCTGAAAACTAGAGAATTATATAGGGTGTGCTCTCAACCCTCAGGGGAGAAAAAGTATGAGGTGGGTAAACCAATGTTTGACTTCACATCACTTTGATTTCTAGACTTTGACTAGTGTACAGAATGTACTTTGCAAATATTTTTTTTATAAATACTTATAGGTCACGTACAAATAAGATAAAACTGGTGAACTCTGATTTGGGTCAGTGGATTATATCCACCTAAACTTCCTGGATGTGATATTGTATTATAGTTATGTAAGATGTTACTTTTGGGGGAAACTGGGTGAAGAGTATATGAGATCTTTTTTGTATTATTTCTTACAACCGCATGTAAATCTACAATTAAATAAGAATTTTAAAAATACTTATGGAGTTACATTCTTTGAACCTGGGTCTGTCGCAGGCTCTGTTGATTCAAGAGAGAAATAGCAAGACACATTAATGTACTCAGAGAAGATGGAGTAGAGATGAGAAGGGACCTAGAGCTAGTTTTAAAAGTTTGCTTTTCAAGATATTAAAATTACTGGTTTGAAAAAATTCATTATCCAAAGTCTCCATGTCATCAAGGAGGTATAATCAATCAACACTTTTAAGATACCTATATGCACACTGAAATTGGTAAGGAGCAGTCCTTCAGAGTTTGGATTAAATAAAAGGAATACTGTTCTGATGGTGAAGGCTATCAAATGTTGAAAAGTGTCCAAAAATTAGGAAGAATGACTCTTACGCGGAAAACTTTAAAGAGGCTGCATTTGCATCTGTCTTTGTAGGTTTAGATGTATTTTTGCCTGAGAAGGGACTAAATAATCCCTTACATTTATATGATCCTAAGAAGTTTTATATATTCAAATTATAAATGTCTTTGATAGTTAGGATTCTTTTTTATTTGCTAGAATTAAGAAATGTCCATGATAAATTGCTGATAGCGTGGAATACATCTATCAAGGAAGTATTCTTTAAACTTTTTAAATCTGCCACACATTTCCACACATTTAATTTTTTTAAATACATGAACGAGAGATACGGATAATGGCAGAATATGTTCTTCAGAACAAAATTAATTGCATTCTGGATAAGGTGGCCATATAATCTATTGCTTAATTCAGGACTCTTGAGTAGAAAGGCTTTGAAAAAATTTTAAGTTTAATCTATGTGCAGATACATATAGATGAATCTTTTCTTAGTGAACACCAGTATCCAGACTGAGAAACTATCAATAGGAACTTTTGGACTTTCTGGCGTGTTCTATTGCCTGTGGTACCCCTTCCTCAGAAGGACCACTACTGACTTCTCTAACTGAAGAGATGAGTTTTGTCTGTTTTTACACTTTACACAAATTGAATCATAACTATATACTTGTTAATGTCTGGCTTCTTGGGATTCGCTTTGTAGGTTGATTCCTATCATTGGATGTAGTACAAATTATTTCAAATAATTTGTTATTTGAAATAATATACATTATTTCATAGCGTGAATATATCATAATTTATTTATTCATTCTATTGATGAGTTATTGGGAAGTTTTCCAGGGTTTTGACTATTATAAATGGTGCTGCTAGTAACATTCTAGTATTTTTTAGTGAACATATGTACATATTTCTTTTGGGCACGTACTCAGGAGTAGAATGACAGTAAAGGAGTCCAAGAATGAGGCACTGAGGGGCAGGAGTATGTGAGAAGTGGAAGCCAAGGGAAAGGGGTCTTACAAAAGAAAGTGTCTACTGGGTTGAGTTGTTTATTTTGTGTTGATTCTTTAAAAACAACTTCTGTCTCCTTAGCCATCATCGTCTACAGACTGCCATGGACCTGGAAATGCAGCAAGTTCCTGATGAAATCCATCCATGCAGGCTTAAATGGTGTTGCTACCATTCTTGCAGTTATCGCTCTGGTGGCCGTTTTTGATTTCCACAATGCCCAGAATATCCCCAATATGTACAGTCTTCACAGCTGGGTTGGACTGGCAGCTGTCATATGCTATGTCTTACAGGTCAGTGTATTTATAAACAAGATATAAAAAGCAAAACAATTCAGAGACCATAAATGTTTTCTAAGCATGCTTTACATTTGTTACCATTTTAACTCTTCCCCCAAGTGGGTTCTGGAATTGCAGAATTCACGTCTATGAGCTTGAATGTGAGATTTATAATATGAACATCTGTTGCAGGGACATTACCATCTCCTAACATCTAGACTGATATTGCTCAGACTTTGGAGTTCTGTATGCTGAATAAACTAGCACAGGCAAGAGCTATAACCTTCTTTTCCACATTCTCTGCCACTTTTCTAAGTTTACTTTTCTGAGCGGAGAGACTAATTTATAACTTTTGGCTAGATTTGGAGGGCACATTGATTGTTTTATTTTCCCCTTGTCTTCCCTTCACTTTGTAAAGACATATAGTCTAAGATCACTATGTTTAAACATAATTTTGTAGAGTTGGTAGGTAATTGGATGTTCTGGGTCACTAAATTAAAAGTTAATGTTGTGAGTCTTTTGGGTCTTAACCATTTTGTGAAAAAAAAAAAATCTTTGTAGGCTGTCTTGATTCAGTTTCCTTCCTTAATTAGCACAGTATCTACTGAACTGCTTGACTAGAATATCATTGGGAACTTCACTTTTCTGGGGATATAGGAGGAATGAGACTTGAGTGGATTCACAAAACCCAAGGCTTATCCTAAACTATATGACCCATTTAAAAAATAGGGACTGTCACCAAACATCTGTCATTTTTTATTTTATATATATATATATATATATATATATATATATATATATATAAAAGTTTTAAAAAACTTTTTAAAAAATAATTTTCATTAAATAAAAGTTGGTATTTCTATGGACACTATTAATTATTTAAATTTAACCAGCTTGGATGTAGGGGTTGGGAATGGAAAGGAGCCTGAAAGGAGAGAAGCACAGAGCAGACCCTATATCTATCAACGATGATCTTCCTAATCCAGAAAGAACAAGGCAAATACTCCAAGTGAGTGGCTGAGCCAGCTGAGCTCTTCTGTTCTCCTTAATTTTCCTGCAATATTTTCAGTCACGGGCTCACATCTGAGAGGCAGCTTCCTCATGAATAATCTGAGGTAAACATTCCATTTCTCCATTGCTACCAACTGATGAGTTCTCTCTCCTCAGACAGGAGGATGGCAAGAGCAAAGCCTACTGAGATCTGCCAGTTGCTTTGGACCTGTGTGGCTTATTGGCATCTCTATAGGACTGCTCTCAGTTCTCTATTTTGCCTTTTTTTTTTTTTTAACTTTTTTTTAGTTGTAGATGGACAAAATGCCTTTGTTTTATCTGTTTATTTTTATGTGGTGCTGAGAATTGAACCCAGTGCCTCACACATGCTAGGCAAGTGCTCTGCCACTGAGCTATAGCCCCAGCCCCTCTATTTTGCTTTGAGAGGTCAGTTCCTCTCTCTTTGTCTCAGTTCCCCTGCACCACATCAGAATGCAGAATGCTTCTGGAGCCCATATGCTGCAAAGCATTTACATATGTTGCTTGTTCCTTTAGGTGAAATACTGGTACAGATGCCCAGGGTACAGGGGAAATAATCTTCCCAGAAGTACACAGGCATTGGCAGAGCTGGGATGCAGACCCAGGTCTGCCAGGTCCCAACCCTCCCTATCAGCAGTTGGCTCTACCATTTCCATGACTTTCCCACAATCACCCAGCCTGTGTTTCAGCATTCTTAGTGAAGGGCCACATCTCTGAGGGTCAGAATAGAAACCATCCAGATTTGCACATGGCTTCCTGTGAAGGTCTTCATATACTACAAATGTTTATACTACTTGCCTGATCACACAAATTGTAAAAGACTGCTTTGTACATAAAAGTACACTGGCTCTGGGCTTCCAAGTGCAGTAGTTACAATGGACTAAATAAAATGCCTTTACTGAATTAGTTCTGTACCAAGGCATCTCAGGATATCTGAAAAGGTATATGTCAGAAGTGGCTGCCTTCCAGTGATTATTTTTCTTATTACTTTATGAAACTTCTAATATTTCTCTGTCACAGCTATTTCTTGCATAATAATAATTAAATAATAATTAAATAAGTAATAAAGTGAATAAATAGATATATAATAAAATATTTTTCTATACCAGGTATGTCTTTTAATTAGGATTCTCTAAAATCAATTATACTCTGCTCTGTATCTTAATATATAAAATTAAGGGATATTTAGAATTTAACAAAAAAAAAGAGAATGCTTATTCCAAAATTCATGGGCCTTAACTAAAATGGCTCTTAGAGGAATATAAGCTTAAATGTGTTTATTTATTTATTTTTGGAAACTATATGTACTATATGTAAACTATTCCTTCAAGACATTGAAAGAAAATAGCAGGAAGCAGGTTACAGTGGTGTACACCTGTAATCCCAGCTACTGGGGAGGCTGAAGTGGGAGGATCTCAAGTTTATGTCGGTCTGGGCAAGTTAGTGGACCCTGTGCTTGACGACTTCTGGTCGTTCATTCAGGAATGAGGTGAACAGCTCTATATCTGTTTCTAGGAAGGATGGTTACATTCCAGCTTTATTCCTTTGTTGTATAAAAAATGTTTTTAAGTTGTTTGCATTGCCGGACCATAGGAGCAACAGATCTCCCATCCCTGTAGGGCCAACACTACTAATTTCCACCCAGATGCTCAGGTGGAAATGAGGTGAAAGAACATTTCTTTTCCCTGTAAAGAGAAATCATCACAAAGCTTGCTTTCTTTACTTCTGATCCGAGCTAAGCAAAGATTCTTGCCTCCATGTTGTTCACTGCAAAATACAGGAGATGTTTTTCTGTCATATTTCTTAAAAGTAAAAAGGGAAAGCACTTTCACTTTCTGAGTGAATAAACATTCTCTCCGGATGGTGGTTCCTGCGCTGCCCTTTGTGGGTGGAGAATAAGAAGCCCCCCTTTTTGAGAGCTACCAGTAGTCTTAGGGCTGTCAGAGCCTTAAGACTGCTGTGCACTGCAATTGCAAAGTATAATCATCTGCGACCATTTATCGGAGTTTGTAAGGTCAGTTTGCACCCCCTCAGCCCAACTCAAGGAAGAACCTTCATGGAGTAAGAAAAGATGGAGATTTTCAAGATTGGATCTTCTCACTTTATTTAGCACTGTAGGGGGTTTGGGTTGGCCCCTAGGCTAAAATCAAGATTTACCTGCTGAATTAACACAGTATCAGGGTTGTTTCAATAAAAACAAAATGGAAGGAGATAAACATTAGGACAATACAGCCCCAAACAGTTGAAAGCTCTTCACCCATCCTCAATGGACTGAAATCAGTTCAAGCACAGAATTCTTTTCTACTTGAGATTTAGCCTCTGGGACATTAAACAAAACCAAATTGTTATGTGTATATGGAATTTATAAGTCATTATAGTAAAATTAACTTCCATGATTTATATATAACCTAATGTAGAAAATGTAGAACTCCCACACAGCTATCCAACTGTACCTCAAACCCATATTTCTTGTGTGAATTCTAACCCCTGGGGGTAGTCAGACTCCTGATGTTTTTTTCTTCATTTCCTGGCTTTCTTTTCTTTCTTTCTTTCTTTCTTTCTTTCTTTCTTTCTTTCTTTCTTTCTTTCTTTCTTTCTTTCTTTCTTTTCTTTTCTTTTTTTCTTTTTTTCTTTTTTTTTTTGGTACCAAGTATTTAACCACTGGACTACATCCCTCACCCACTTTTTGTTTTTCTATTTTGCTGAGGCTGGTTTTGAACTTGTGATCCTTCTGCCTCCTGAGCTGCTGGGGTAACAGGTGGGCACCATCTTGCCCAACGTTTTTTTAAAAAAGAATGTTGCTAATGTTCTATTGAGTATAGGTGCTTCACATTGCCTCCTATCTTTATTAAAACATTTTATTTTTAAGTCACTAGTGGATGTGAAATTTTATTGAATGATTTTTCTGTGTCCCTTGAGATGAATATGGCTTCTCTTTTTTAATCTGTTAACATAGTTGATTACATCAATAGATTCTAATTTTAAACTTGGTAAATTACAAACATCTTTAATTGTCCCAAGAATCTCTTTTTTAATTGATTCTGGATTGTTATCTCTTGTTTTCTTTGTGCTCACAGGGCTTCTTAGAAAAATAGTTTCACAACTTCTTGGCTTTTGTTTTGAGGGAGGAATGCTGGCTCCTAGCTTTTCCTTGCTCAGATCCAGAGAATAGGTACTGTTTAAGAACACAGGATTTGCAATTAGGGAGACTTCAGTTTGAATAAGTTTCATCCATTTGATAGCTGATGACCCTGAACAAGTTATTTAATTTCTCTGGAAATTGTTCATGTATAAATCAAGGTTCATGATACTTCACAAAATCATAAGAATTAGAGCCAAATAATGCATGAAAAGGCTCCACCCAGGGCTTAGCACACTGGAAAAATACAAGTTAGCTCTGTTGTCATTAGAAGTATAAATCTTGTGGGAGGCTCCTTTGTGACCTGAAGATGACATAAGTACTTTCATGGTTTGAGAACATGTATTTTCTGTCAGTGAAATTTTATTCACAAATTCATTTATTTATTCAACAGTTGTATATCTGTGCCAGATACTTTGCTAAGTGTGGGAGATACATTGTTCTACAAGTCAAACATAGGCTCAAAGAGACGTGCTCTCTGCCCTTAAAAAGCTTGCAGGGGTAGACAGATAATTGATATGCTGGTTATGGAGTGTTCTGGAAGAGCTCTCTTAGGATAAAGGAGACACAGGGAGTTACACCAAGATCTGAAGTTGTTAGCCTGGTGTTGAAAAGGCAGACTCTCCCAGGTGCATAAAATACCTGTGAGAAAAGTTTTGCTTTGAGGAATAGGAAGGATACCAGGCTGCCCAGAGTGGAGTACAGAACATGAATTGCAGTCTAGGGCAGGATTAATACGGAGAATCTAGCTTGAAGGTGTTTACAGAGGTTCTGATGAGAAGTGGTGTTGGCCTCGAGGAGTAGTAGAGACAGTGAAGCAGATTGGATAGATTCTAAAGGTATTGAG